GCTGAGGTATTATCACAAAAGAGATCCATGGGAATGTTGAACTTCTAGAGATCTGTGTTAACTCACACATATCTGCATTATGCTTCAGATTAGAAGAAAGGAGGAGCCTGTTGAGTAATTGAGCATCCATGATTTGATATATCTGAGTTTTTATAAGTATTTTTCTGATTTTTGTATAGTCATAGCTGATTATTTAAGTTTAGTTTGTAGCCATGTACTATAGTGTAAATTTTGTATATACCTTTTGATGATAAATGAAAAAAACTTTTGTAGATAAATTCCTTTTCTATTAACTAGAAGTTTATTAGAGGCTCTGTTGTCTGTTTCAAATCTTAAAGGGAAGAAATCTAAAGAGTTCTCTCGAAACTTAGATCTTTGGTTGGCATGTCCCAATTCAACACTGTATGGCTTTTTGTCTATGGGTTATGTCGGGTTGGGTATTGACACCTTTTTTGAAATCAATAAAATTCTCATAATAAGGTTACAAAGCCTAGCAGTACCCAAAACTACAAAAGCTTTCAATGTAATGTCTTAGAAATCAATATACATGCTCATCTAAATCAATAACAAATCAGTAGGTACCAATATAAATAATGATCAGTCACTAGTGATTAGTTGACGGGAAAAGCTTAGAATTACGCTAAAATTCATTAATCACTATCATATACTGGACAAGTAAATACATCGATGTATATCAATATATTCAATAAAGTCTCGGGTATAGTGGTATCAGTTGTATTCATTGTATGTTATATATGAATCATGAATGCTTCTATCGCCATTATCAATGCTATTGTCACATGTAAATACTACATCAATATGTTTAATATCTATTTTCTATGAGTATATTCTTATGCAATATATATGTATTTGATTCCATATGTTTTTTATATATGCATGTCAATGTAGACATCAATATTATATGAATTTAATAAGTATCAATTTATCTAGTGAAATTTAATAATATTACTGTCAAAATGCTAATAAAAATCATATCTATCACATACAAAAAGTTACATGATAAAAATTTGATAAATAGGAAGAAAATACATTTTTATCGATTTTTTGAAGATTAAAATTATAGAATAGAAAATCATTGGGAAAAAATGTAAGATTCAGGTTACCTACAACGATAAGAAGAAATCTTGTAACATATCTGGCGGATGAAAATATCTCGAGCAGCTTTCTCTCTCTTCTCTCTCCTCTCCTTCTCCCCTTCTTTTTTACTTTCTTCCCCTCTTTTTTCCTTAACCTGGCAAGCCTAATGAATGAGTCGAAGGAATCGTGTTCACTGTTCAATGATGTTTATATTGAATATGCATAAAAATATTTATTAATTCCTGGCACCATGGCACCCGAAACCACTGTGTCGTTGCGCTGCATGCTGAATCCAGAGTTATTGTAAAACAAAGACTTCGACAGCGCGGTGGCGCGTTCCAGGTTCCACTGCGCGCAAGCACAACGCCACAGCGTTGCAATGCAAATTTATTTTATGAAATTTTGAATTTTTTAAAATAATTTATCAAGTCGAGCCCGAGCAGGCTCATGAATCTGCTCCTCTCATGCCCCTAATGTGGATGTCTCTAGATTCTTATTTTTTGATGCTAATACTTCAGGCATCACGAATCTACTTGTCTCACAAATTTGCTGGTTCTTCTTTCATTCATAACCTTTTGAAATCCTCTATTTCTCTCAGAACCTTTTGATATCATCTATTGTCCTCGTTTTCTTTCCCTAGGCTGGAGGCCACCCTCAAAATCCAGGAAATCTCCTCCACCCTACCCATTCCAAATCCTCATACCTGCCAAATTTTTATTCAAATATAACCCTAACCATAGTGTTGGTACACCACAAGTAAAAAAAAGCCCACAATTCTCATTATTCAGAAAAAACTTCTGTGGAAAATTTTAATTTATATGATGTTTTGTCAATATTGAATATTGGTGGAATTTAAAGAGCTAATCCTCTGACCATAAATCAAATCTTTTTGGCTCAACATTGATGAGTCCTATTCTAATATATATGCACCTATCAGCGTGTTGCTCTTAATTAAATAGAGATTGTCAAGCTTCTTTACTGTCAAAATCATAATACCCACGAAACATGTACTATGATATCTTGATCATTTTATTCGTATCATTAGAGGCAAAGTATGAAAGATTTTTCCTCCCCTTGTTTGATCTTTCTTTAGAAAGTGCTTTCGACCGTTAGTTTTTTTATTTTTTATTGGTGTCTTTTAACTTGCAAAAGAAAGGTTTATTGCTGAAGTACAATTCGGGATGGATCAAGACAAAAAATCTGCACAAATGAATGGTTGATATTGAATTATTTTCCTCGATTATTGTGAAATATTCTTATAGATTCTTCCAACTTTCACAAAGATAATAGTCTTGTCACTTATATTTAGTGTTATTCAGCTTCTTTGCAAGAGTGCGATCAAGTCATCATGTCTTCAATAATTCATTAGTACCTTTACTCAAAAATTCTGGTGTATTGTACTTGTGATTTTGTTTCTACTAATTTTTTCAATGGTGCTGGGGCTACCTACCGCATCATTTTCGGTTTTGAGACAATGAAAACAGTAGGCGTACTGCAGCTTTTAGAAGTGTTCTTTTCGTTGGTTTTCAGAGAAGCTAGCTTTCTTTGAAGTGTTAGTAACATCAAACTAGCTTTTTCCTTTTCCCTGTGTAAGTTTGGTCTATAAACCAGTAGCAACAAATCGTTGATCGACAAAATCTCTCAAAAAGAATCTCCGTTTAATCTTTCTTTTGTCGATTTAACTTCAATTATTATTACTTTTAAGTAGGAGGCTATGATCGGTCAGAGTAAAAACTGTACCTTTTTTATTTGCTCGTACAAAAGATTAGATTTTGCCTTGGCTAAGGTGCAGTTTTATCAATAATTTATTGAAATAATTTGAAATTCTATTGATTAAGGCCCATTTATTAGTTCTAGTAATTAAACTGGAATTTGATTTGTGAAGGTAAACTTGTAAAGAATCCATTAAGCAAATTTAGGGTGTGCACAGTTTAGTTTGATTTCAACTCAATAGGTTTGGTTCAGTTCTTTATTCAATAACTTAAATTTTTAGGAATTAATTTTTAGATTTCAATTTGATCTATTTGTTTCACTTTGGTTTTAAGTGAATTGATTTCATTGTTATTCTTAATTAATGAATAATTAAAGTATTTTTTATGTTTAATGTTATATAAGAAAAGAGTTATGATTTCACTTATTAATCACATGATTTGTTTAAATTAGCTTTATCATTTATAATATTAATTGGCTCAGTTATCATTTCAGTTATGATTTTAGTTAATATAAAATGACAGACTATAAATAAAACAGATTTAAATCAAAATCAGTCGGTCTTGCTGATTTGATTTGGATTTTTGGCTTGTTCCGTTTTGCAGGCCCCGAAGCATATATGATAATTAATCTTTTGTTAATTTATCTTTATCAACTTATTGATTTGTTCTTTTGGCAAATAATTGGATAATGGATTAAGGATTAACTTGGTTTGCTGAAAGAAATGCAGAATAACAAATGTTATGCAGCGTAAAAGAAATATAGTGTATTTGAAATGTTTGGAGTTGTTTGGATAACTACAAAATAAATGTGGTTGATTTTTTTTTTTTAGTTTGATTTAAGTAAAATGAATGTAATATAAATCCAAACGATGGAGGTGGTAGCAGACAACCGGTGCTAGAAAACGCGGCAGGCGGCGTTAATGCGGCATAGGTGATTGCTGGCGAAGATGATATATAGTAGAGAAATTATGATATATTTGAAAATTAATCAAAGCTAAAAACTTCTTAATATGTCAAAATTGAACAAAATGATGCAATTTCAACTACTTTAAAAAATTTATTTTACTTTTCCCTTACTTCAAAGCAAACATAAGTATATAAAAAATACTTATATTTGAAATACTTTACACTCATTTTACTTCAAATTAAATAATTCCTAATTAGATTCGAGTTGAGTTATGTTCAAACAACCCCTTATATTTGGAAACTTTAGCTGCAGTACTATTTTTTCGCTAGTCTTACGGAATTTTAATGTGAATATATTAGATTTCATGATATTTTTAACTATTTTGTCAGGGTTTAAGAGTAACCTAATGGTACTTTATGAGCTAGAAGGAATTTAAATATAACTCTATATCTGTAAAATATGATAAGTTTTTTTATTTAATTTATTAAAATTTAAAATTATTGCTATTTTTGTTACCAAAATGGCCAAAGTAAAGAAGTTTAATATAAAATTCCCTTTGCTTTTATTGTTTTTGATTTTCTTGGGCTTGGATATTTGTTTTAGTACTATTAGACCCTTGGCATCCAAGGTTGTTGGGTTTGGTTGGGCCAATCAAAATCATATGAGCACTGTGAGACTCAAGTCAATTGTCAATCAACTGAGAATATGGGACCTTCACTTAAATCTTTATTTGATTACTTCCAGTGGCAATTTCACATCATGTCGCAAGGGGAATCTTAACCTTTCTTCTGCTAAGTGTTCTCTTTTGTTTCTTTTATGAAGAGTAAGCTTCAGCAATTTTTCATGATAGGAAATAATTAGTAATAGTTCATCAATTTAATTGTTAGACTCTTAAAAGAAAGAAGTTATTCTGTGCAGACACCGGACGGTTCAGAGACCAATTAGAGCACGCCACATCATGGTAATGAGCAACGGTACAGAGCACCAGTACTGAGAAAAAAATGACAAGTCGCATTTTGATTGATCTCCGAACGCCATCCGGGGTCCGCACAGAATAATTTTTCCTTAAAGGATGGCTTGTGTTGATTGATCATTCAAAGAAATTTTTTATAGAAATTTTGTCCCATTTTTCGTCTCCTGCTATTTTTTTCATGCGACAAAATGAAGTCTGACATAACTGCCGAGCTATATTTCGGGCTCCTACGTGTCTATTTTTTAAATGCCATTCACCTGTTTCATACAGCATTTCAGCATTATTTTCCAATGCAGGCTTCAAAATCTAATTTTTAGCTTTTGTTCATGTCGAAAATAATTAACCATTTTATTGGCCTCAAAGTACAATATTACAATCGCTTTAGCAGAAAATCAATACATGAAAGATAAATTCCAGATTTAGTCATCTTCTCGGCAAGTTACAGCTCCAACAATTACTTCGTTAGTTTTATGATCCTCCACTGTGCTTTCCAATCCATCTTCCTTCTTCTCGACAAGTGCCAATTTTTCATCTTTATCATCTTCTCCATTTCCATTATTTCCCTGGCTCTCATTCCTTTTTGCCTGCAGCAGGTGTATCAGACCCTCCAAAGCAACATCAACAGTATCACTTCTCATCAATTGCTCTGCAACTTCAGCAGGTGTGGCCTTCACCTCTTTCAACAACCCTTCAATCTCCTCAAACATGGGATGCTCATAAATGGCATGGTAATTAGAAACTAAAATCCTGAAACTATTTGGGCCACAATAACCCATATGTACATGCATATCCATCCGTCCAGGTCTCAGCAATGCAGGATCAAGCTTTTCTTTATAATTAGTTGTAAACACGATGATCCTCTCCTCGCCGCTTGTCGACCACAGCCCATCGATGAAGTTGAGCAATCCAGAAAGGCTTATCTCATCATCATGAAACTTGTTGTTGCTTTGATTCTCCTTATCTTCATCCCTGTTCTTCAAATCAACGGAACAGTCAATGTCTTCTATAACAAGCAGTGATTTATTCGTCATACCAACGAGCAACCTCTTCAGTCCGGAGTTCATTCGGACCTCCTTAAGGTCCAGATCATAGATGTCAAATCTGAGGTAATTGGCCATGGCGGCAATCAAACTCGATTTGCCAGTTCCAGGTGGCCCGAAAAGCAAGTACCCACGTTTCCACGCCTTTCCGATCTTTTTATAATACTCTTTCCTCTTAACAAATCTCGCTAAATCTTCAAGAATTGTTTTCTTGAGATCTGCTTCCATTGCCAGCGTCTCGAATGTTGCTGGATGCTGCAGGTCAATTGGGCTCCAGCTCTCATACTCATTCATGTAAAGCTTCAACCTTCTATCTGCTGCTTTGATCTCCTTCGCCTTTTCCAGGACATGGGGTAGGTATGAATCCAACGTAACGTCTTTATATTTCTTATGGAAAGTGAGCTCGAACCAGCGGACTTCACTGTTTGAACTGAAATCCCCACCGCGATTCCCTCCTTGATTCTCCTGCTGGCTTATTAGCTGCCATTTGTACTCGACGCCTTGGAAGGCATCGATTAGCTCTTCGCCGTCGTCGAGGGAGAGAGTTATGCTATTCTTGTCCTCGTTCTTGCTGGCTCTGAGTCGGCGCATGTTGGGGGAAATTCGGGTGCGAAGGTAAGTGCTTGATGCGTCGTACAGTTCGTTAGAGCTCAGCCCTTCGTTTTCCTGGATGACAATGGCGTGTTCGATGGAGAAGCGGCTGAAGAGCTTGTCGAAGCCGGCGAAGATGATGGTGCGGAGCTCGTTGGGGAGGTATTCGTTGACGATGGTGCGGGCGAGCATGGCGGAGGCGACGATGGAGGCGGTGGTGGTCAGGTATTTCTTCATGGATTCGATGGGTTTTGTAATTTGGGAATCCATGGTAGAGTAAAAATTAGATTTTTTTTTTCTTCAATTCTTTTGTTTTGATCTGGTGCGATGGAGGCGGAGTTGCTCTACTGGGATTGGAAGGAGGGAGATGGTTTTTTGATGGGTTGGGAGTGGGTTCTTATAGAAGGGGAAGGGCAAAAGAGACCGTGGAAGCCACATCATATTTCTATTATATAATATCCTAAAATTTTAACCATCAAAATATTATTTAATATGATTAATAGTCCCACCGTTTTGTCCCCTTGGCAAAGTCTAATATTGAATTTTTTAATGATAATCATTATATTAAAATGCATCTCGATATTTAAAATTTTAATTTAATTATATTCTAGGAATTTCATATGTTAAAATTAGGATTTATTTTTGTAATTTTGTATAAATATTGATGCCGTGGTGGATATTCTTTTTTTTTTTTTGAGACTTTTAAGTGAAATCACACAAATATCATGTGCAAGTTTCAAATTCAATATCTCTTAATTAGTAGCAAAAGTTTTCATTCAATGAATCAAGATTAGCTAAATCGTGATGGATATCACTTAAAATGTTTGTCTTAGGTTTCGTTTGGGATGGCTTTATTACTATTTATTAAAGCAGTTTTTAAGAACAAAAGTTTTAATTTTTGCACTAAAAAGCTGCTTTATGAAACAATAAAAAAGCTGTCCTAAATGTAGCCTTAGGTTTCGTTTGGAATGGGTTTCTTATTACTTCTTAAAGCAGCTTTCTGGAAAGCCGTCCCAAATGAAATCTTATCTTAAAAATTATATTCAGAGAGACTCAAAATTAGAATATAGAAACGGGCTCAATTGCCCAACTAAGGAACAATTATTACGTCCTCTGACCGGACGTAGATCTACGTTCGGCCGCCAATAACATGTCGTCACGTGCTTTTACTCTTTAGCGCGCGGCTCGAAGACTTGACCCGGACCGGAACCCGGGAATGCTATGTTCACGATTTTCTCGGTATTGCTCGGTATTTGCTAGGTATTGCTTTGCAAAAACGAGAAATACCGCTCTGTGAAGACCAATATCATGCAAATACCGAGTTGTACCGAGTTTTTCTACAACTCGGTACAACTCGGTATTTACTCAGGATTTGCTCAATATTGCTATGGATTTGCTCGGTATTGCTAGAAAAAACTCGGTACAACTCGGTATTTGCTCGGTATTGCTAGGTATTTGCTCGGTATTGCTCAGTATTGGTTATTGCCGAGCAAAATCGACCAATACCGAGCAATCTTGGGTCCGTTCCGGGTCGGGTTGTCGGGACGCGTGGTAAATAATGAAAATGCGTGGCGCGATTCTACTGGCGGCCGAACGTAGAGCTACGTCCTGTGACCGGACCAAATAAAAATTCCCAACTAAGGGAGCCATCAAAGGAAATATTCCACGTGTGGGCCCACGCCCCATATACTTTCCAAGTCTTATGAGAGAGAACGGTAGCACAACGGTAGCACAACAACCTTCTTCCCAAAGCTTTTGTGCTATCCAAGTTTCCTATTAAGAAATACATTTCCCCTTCAAAGTTCCTCTTTGACTCGTGCTATCAACGCTGTAAAGATGCCGTGTTGCGCACATTCACCATTCGTTATGCTTTGGACGGTTATGATTTAGCCAATCGAAGTCGCACATGGATTCATTTTAGTGGATAATGATACGCCCAGACTTGTATTAGTGAGGGATTAGGCAGGCTAATTAGTCTTCTGTTAGTTTTAATTCTTTTATTAACGTTTGATTATGTTGCTCTAATCATGTTACTTATCACCACTAGTAAATGTACATTAGATTTCAGTTGTCTTATTTTTATGTTTAAACAGAGGAAATGAAATTTCAACATGATGTGGGTTCTTTATGACTTTGAACCATCGATTTTAAGCTTTTAACCTTTTCTTTCTTTCTTATTTATTTTTTTAACATGACGGGGTTTTTAATATCCCAACACACTTTTGAATAGGCTCTAATGCACCTTTAGTCATCACCTGGACATTTTATGTTAGTATTAATTATATAGTTTTTTTTTTATTTAAATGAATAAAAAGTCATAGGTTTGGTGATGCCATATGAGTAAGCTTAGTTAGAGTGACGCCGGCGGAGGTGGTGACACGGCAACGGACAAGAACGTGAGAGCTGTCTGAATCGGGCAGCTCAAGCAAACCTAAGATGTGCTTCTTGGGAGGGTAACACCACCTGAATTTCTTCAGGATACATAACCCTTAAAACTCAAATTTTATTCATCTCCAAAAATCCCCGTGTTACAAGTATTGGCTATATATTTATAGACAAATGTAGTAACATAATATACTACACTCAGTAGAAAAAAGCTCTATTCCTATACAATCATATAAACTACCAAATGGAATTAAGCTAGCCTGAAGTTAACATGTTTTAAGTAGCTCAACTCCGACATCATACTACCGAGGTAGGAGTAACTTCAAGCTCATAAGAAGATATTTGATTGGCCACATTAAGGCGGCGGATTTGGTTGGCTAAACCGGTCTGGATAGCTCCACCCGGTATCAATTTGCCTACTAATCTCCAATCTCTCAAGAGTAGTATAAGCAGATGGAATACTTGTGATTGTGAAAGCATCTAGGACCATCTGTGTTTCTTTTAGTGTCTTCTCATTCCATAAATTTATAGGCTTTGTCAAGAACTTGGCATCCTTGCTTGGTACTCCTACCAGCACAACAACACCCCAGCCATCATTAACATATTCAAATGCAGAAATCATGGTATCAACATTTCCTATGCATTCGACACTTTGGTCGACTCCATTATTCTTTTTTGCAATGACCTCTTGAATTGGCTTATCATTAATATTCGCAGGTGTATCAATACCAAGCACTCTGCCAAACTTGTCATCCTCATACACGTTATACATGGGCTCATCGTAGAAAGGCAAAGATGACAATTTCGACAAAGGATCTTCAAATTCTTCGAACCTGGATTCAATCGAGGGTGGGGTGGAAGATTGACGAGGTGGCCCTTCAAACACATCTTCGTGGGTAGAATAGATTTGATCACCGGAGATGCCCTCGTCGTCGTTGTCGGTTCGCAAGGATTTAGTTGGAACAAGAGATCTTGAAGCCGTCATGACAGCATACTTGCCCAGAACATCATTAAAGTCCTGGCAAGGGGGCTCAAGTTTTTCCTTCATTCAATCCTTGACAATCATAGTTTGAATCGGGAAATTCTTGTAGAAGATCTTCGATTTTTGCTTCTTGGCGTGTTCCCTGCAATGTCCATCGAGAAGGCATCTTGTTATGTTCTTCAAGAACATAAATTAATCTGGAATTAGGCTCAATCTGACACCAAGGTGAACTTTGTCTCAGTCACCCTCCTACACCTACGGTCCTAGGCCTTGCTCACCTCCAGTTTTCTTGAACCTAGAAACCAATTTTCATGGCGGAGGAGGAATCTTTAGCTGTTGCGGAGTCGGTTGGTTGCGGGGGAGAAGAGGCTTCACTACCGGTGAAGGAAAAAAATAAGACCGATTCGCCATCAAATCAGTTCCGCTACCGAGGCCGTTTCACCACCAAAGTCGATTCGCTTATGAGGTCGATTCACCACCAAAGCCAATTCACCACCAAAGATCAGGGTGGGATGTTTGGACGGATTTAAAAATCGAACAGCTGCAGGAATCTGGTGGTTAGAAGCTCTTATATTTGTTGTCCTGAAGTACGCACACAAGAACAAAGTAATAGACAAGAACAATCTCCAGAGAACATAAGCTCCAAAGAAATCTTCAGAGAAGAACAGACAAGAACAAAGAAACACACAAGAACAAAGAGAAGGTGGGTTGCAGATGACGCCAATCCAGCGACTTGAAGCTTGGTGACCACTGGTTTCCTCTCTCCATAGTTCCTTGGGCAAGTCTTCAACCTTCTTCGTCGGGCTTCACCACCTGAGAAAATCTCAAGATACAGAGAGTAAAGGCGGAGAACAGGGAAAAATACGAAACAGTGCACAAAGTAATCATCCAAGAAGCAAGATCCCCACGGAAACAAAGGAAGTGGTTGGAAGTTTTGGAACCAAATTTGGCTCTGATACCAAATGATGCCGGCAGAGGTGGCGACGCGGAGACGGACAACAAAGCGAGAGCTGTCCGAATCGGGCAGCTCAAACAAACCCAAGACGTGCTTCTTGGGTGGGTAACACAGTCTGGATTTATTCAGGATACAGAACCCAAAAACAATAGAGTAAAAACTCAAATCTTATTCATCACAAAAAATCCCCCTATTACAAGTATTTGCTATGTATTTATAGAAAAAAAATGTAGCAACATAATAGATTACACTCAGTAGAAGAAAGCTCTTTTCTTATATATGCTAAAGTTAACATGTTTTAAGCAGCTCAGCTTTAGCTCTGGCATCATAGAGCTTATTTGAAAATTAATTTTTATAAAAAATTCAAATGTGAATTGAAATTTAATTTAATTTATTCAATAAAATTATTTCACTATATAAAATAGACATATAATTGAATCGATTGGTTCTTAAAAATCGGGACTTATTTATCGGTTTGACTGTCGAACTGCTGGTTTGAACCGATTTTATTCGGTTCAATGCAATGTCAGCTTTACAAAAAATCTGGACCGGCTAACCAACCGGTTCTTGGTTGAACTAGTCGAATTAGTCAGCCTTGTCTAATTTTTAATATTTTATAAAAAATTTGGACATCATATAAATCAACTTTAAAGTTCATTAAAAAATCAATCATCATTTCATTATTTTCCTATAGCGGTATAATTTTTAATTAGCTCATGATGGAATTAAAGTGTTTTTGGGTAGCATGGTATTTCTAATTGCATTGTTTAAGTTAGTTTTCTAAGTGAGTAAAGTGTGTATGAGGCGTGTTGAGTTTAACTTCTTGGCCCTTAGACATATTATTAACATACTCATTTGCCTTGATAACTAAGATTTCATTTGGGATAACTTTTTTATTACTTTCTCTACTTTCTAAAGCAACTTTGAAAAACTTTTTTGCTAGAAAATTGCTTTAGAATGTTATTGATCAACTTTTTTCCCCTGGTGTAAAGCTCACATAAAATTCCCTCGTTCACCTGGAGGTCTTTCACTCGAGAAATTATTATGTGTAGTGACCGAACTCAAAACATTGTCTGAAGATTAACCATAATGCACAATATCAGCGATACCGAGCCGCAGTACCGAGCAGTACCAAGCCGCGGTACCGAGCACATGAGTGACATGACACATTTTGATTGGTCTTTGAACGGTGTTCGACGTCCGCACAGAATGACTAATCCTTCCACACACACACCCTTAGTTAGAATCTTGAAATATGGTTTGACACAATTCTGACCCAACTATGGAGCTATGTTTCAGAATCCTACGTCTCTATTTTCAACATGCCATTCAACTGTTTCAAACAGCTTCACAGTATCAGCAATATTTTTACAATGCAGGCAATCAAAATCTAATTTTTAGCTTATTTCATGTCGAAAATAATTAACCATTTTATTGGCCTCAAAATAACATTACAGATTTAGTCATTCTCTTAGCAATTTACAGCTCCAACAATTAATTTTTCAGTTTCAAGATCCTCCGCACTGCTCTCCAATCCTTCTTCCTTGTTCTCCACAACTACCAATTTTTCATCCTTATCATATTCTCTATTTCCTTTATTTCCCTGACCTTCGTCCCTCTTTCCATGCAGCAGTTGTATCAGACCCTCCAAAGCAACATCAACATCATCGCTTCTCATCAATTGCTCTGCAACTTCAGCCGGCGTGGCCTCCACCTCTTTCAACAACCCTTCAATCTCCTCAAACTTGGGATGCTCATCAATGGCATGGTAAGTAGATACTAAAATTCTGAAACTATTTGGCCCACAATAACCCATATTTACGTGCATATCCATCCTTCCAGGTCTCAGCAATGCAGGATCAAGCTTTTCTTTATAATTAGTTGTAAACACGATGATCCTCTCCTCTCCGCTTGTCGACCACAGCCCATCAATGAAGTTCAGCAATCCAGAAAGGCTTATCTCATCATCATGAGACTTGTTGTTGCCTTCATTCTCCATATCCTCATCCCTGTTCTTCAAATCAACCGAACAATCAATGTCTTCTATAACAAGCAGTGATTTATTCGTCATTCCAACAAGCAGCCTCTTCAGCGCAGAGTTCATTCGAACCTCCTTGAGGTCCAGATCATAGATATCAAATCTGAGATAATTCGCCATGGCAGCAATCAAGGTCGATTTGCCTGTTCCAGGAGGTCCGAAAAGCAAGTACCCACGTTTCCACGCCTTTCCAATCTTTTTATAATACTCTTTCCTCTTAACAAATCTCGCTAAATCTTCAAGAATTGTTTTCTTGAGATCTGCTTCCATTGCCAGCGTCTCGAATGTTGCTGGATGTTGCAGGTCAATTGGGCTCCAGCACTCGTACTCATTCATGTAAAGCTTCAACCTTCTATCTGCTGCTTTGATCTCCTTCGCCTTTTCCAGAATATGAGGAAGGTATGAATCTAACGTAACGTCTTTGTATTTCTTATGGAAAGTGAGCTCGAACCAGCGGACTTCGCTGTTTGAACTGAAATCCCCACCGCGATTCCCACCTTGATTCTCCTGCTGGCTTATTAGCCGCCATTTGTACTCGGCGCCTTGGAAGGCGTCGACGAGCTCTTCACCGTCATCGAGGGAGAGAGTTATGCTGTTCTTTTCCTCGTTCTTACTGGCTCTGAGTCGGCGCATGTTGGAGGAAATTCGGGTGCGAAGGTAAGTGCTTGATGCGTCGTAGAGTTCATTGGAGGTGAGGCCTTCGGTTTCCTGGATGACGATGGTGTGCTCGCTGGAGAAGCGGCCGAAGAGCTTGTCGAATCCGGAGGAGACGATGGTGCGGAGTTCGTATGGGAGGTATTCGTCGACGATGGTGCGGGCGAGCATGGCGGAGGCGGCGATGGAGGCGGCGGTAGTCAGGTATTTCTTCGCGGATTCGATGGCTTTGCTTTGAGAATCCATGGCCGAGGAAAAATTAGCTTTTTTCTGCTTCTTTGGGTTTGTTCTGGTGCGGTGGAGGAAGATTCGCTCTTTCTGGGAACTGGAAGAAGCGAGGATGGTCTTTGGTGGTTTTGGAGTTGAATATTTGGGTGGGAGGGAGACTGGGAGTGGGGTTTTATAGAGAAGGGGAAGGGTAGAAGAGGAATTTTTATTTGGTTCGGTTGACAGGATGCAAGAAGCATCCGGTGGTACCGTATTTTTTTTGCCTACGACCAGATGCTTCTCTGCATCCGGTCGGAGGACGTAATAATTGTTCGTAGAAGAGGCGGTGAAAGCCGCATCTTTTAATATGCTTTGGATGTAATATACCACGGAATTGGTTAAGCTGATTTGGTCTTGAGCCTGATGGGTAGATTGGAGATAGAAAATACTTCACTGTTTGACCCGTTCTGTTCAACATGACCAAATCAGCTTAACTTCCATCTGTTTGATAGCCATTCTCATCTGATTGACCCGTTCTACTCAACATCATCATGTGATAAACCAATTCATTTAGTGTAGCTGTAGCTCTTTGTGGAAATAGTTGCAAAATTATTATGAGATCATTTTTTCAAAATTATTATAACTGTTATCAGTTATAGTCAATGTGTGTAGAGATTATTATGTGCGGAGTCTGAATACAGAGAATCATTCGGTTTTGTGACTGTGAACATTAAAAGCACAGTGATGAATAGTAAAAACACAGTGGTGAACAGTAACTGTGCTTTTATTGTTTACAGACATAAAATTGGACGGTTCTCTGTGTCTTGATTCCGCACGTAATAATCCCTCTGATGTGTGGGCCACCACTATGTATATATAGTCCGAAAGTCTTATGAGAAGGGCAGATAGCATTCTTCTTCTCCAAGCTTCCTAGAAAGAGATTTGCTCTCCAAGTTTCTCATTAAAAAAAGGTAGATTTTCCCTTCAAACTTTCTCTTTGACTCGTGCTATTGACGCTGTATATACACTTACTTACCACTCGTTTTGCTTTGGACGGTTATGCTTTAGTCGGCCAAAGTCACAAAGGAAGCACTGGGTTTCGTTGTACTAGATAAAGATACGCCAGATTTGTATTAGTGAGGGATTAGGCAGGCTAATTAGTCTCGGGTTGGTTTTTAATTCTTTTATTAATGTTTGATTATGTTGCTCTAATCACGTTACTTACCACCACTACTAAATGTTTGTGGATTTGATGCGCATAGATGGAGTTGATTATACTTATTTTATATAAATGATAATTTTTTAGATATTATGTATCCTCAAAAAAAAAAAAAAAAAAAGAGGGGGCTAGAATATACGTGGCGAAATGATCGACTCCAATAGATGCTCATCATCAGCTTTTTGAGTCAAAAAGCATTCGTCTTAGCGTTATATTGATATTCTGCACACAAACAGAAGAAGAAAGAACACCAGAATTTTTACATGGAAAACCCTAGAAAGGGAAAAAATTATGAGGCCACACCTAGTTGAAAATTTTCCACTAGTGTTTACTTGAGATATAAGAGACTGACTCGCCCGTAAAAGTTGGGACGATTAGATTACAATGAATCACTTCTTGATTGAAATCAAGTTATAATGTCGGGCATAGTTCCGGCGTCACTTGAAAGTCGGGCAGAATTCTGACGTCTTTTGGAAGTCGGGTAGAATTCCGGCGTTGGTGGTCGAGGGGGAGTTTCTTCCTCTCTTCTCTTTTCATTCTTTTGGACCCCTCTCAAGAGAAATGAGGGGCTATTTATAGTTTTTTAGTATGGCATGACCTTCTTCTTCTTTTGAGTCCCCTCTCAAGAAAAATGAGGGGCTATTTATAGTTTGTTGAGTATGGCATGACCCATAATAGGAGGAGGATCGAGGGCAAAGGTGGAGTGGTTCAGATGGATGACCTATATTGAATCCTTTGATTGTGGGTTGTTTATTAGACATTTGAAGGTCCTAACGATATCGAAATTCAACGATCTTGGGCTCATTGGATTCGTCTCGTCGATCCACTCGATTCGATTATAAGAATGTCATGCTTCAAAATCATTTGGTAACTCAAATTGTGGTTCGATCTTTCAATAGCACTCCAGGTCCTTGATTTGGACTCATTTAGGCTCGAATTGAGTCGAATTTGGTGTCGTTGGGTTTGTATTTTCGAGACGCTTAGTTTGACTGTAAGTTTGCTGAAATTGGAGTTCAGGTGATCCTGGAATTAATTTTTGAAGTTTACGGCTTGATTTTGCCTCGAGATTCGTGCCCGATCAAGCTAATTAAAAGGTAATCTTTTTATTTATAGATGAATTATGATTTCTCAATTCAAGAAATCTTTATCTCAATTTTATTTAAAATAAATAATTATTTTAAAATTGATATGTTGTAAGAAAATTCACTTGATTAAGTATATTTGAATCTTGAAGAATATTTGAATGGACAATCATGATTGTAGGAAGTAAAAGGGGGCAATGGATGTCGAGAGGCAATGCATCAATAGTGGCAGTCAAATGAAGGGCCAATGATGACAATGGTGATCAAGTTTCATTTGATTGAAGGAAGTAGGCATTCATGTTGCCAGGGGCAGACAATGAATAGCTCATTCGAGATATTATTAGGTGCGGAGTGCAGACGGGGAGAACCGTCTGCACACTAGTATAAAATCAAGTTAGGTACCGTTCAGTACCGCTGGGTATCACTAGGTACCGCTTGGTACCCTGTGTCTGTGCAGACGATGCTCTCCCCGTTTGCACTCCGCACCTAATAATTATTCCAATAGAGGTGCTTGGTTGATGTGCTTATGGTAGCAGTGCAATGACACATTGATAATGACAATTGAGTAGAGGCCTCATGGAGATAAGGCTTTGCGCCGCTACCGGCAGCGTGGAACAGCGGCCATCGGCCACTCCCGCGGTCCGCTTGAACGGGTGTTCGCGGAACCGCGGTACGCTCAGCTCGCGCGGGCGGAGCCCTCCGCGCCCGCTAGCGCCTTGCGCGGTTGCGCTGAACCGCAGACCGTTCCGCGCCCGCTAACGTGGGCGTTTGCCTTGAGCGAATCCGCACGGATCTGCAGCTGCGAGCTATCTGCGCGCTGCGGGTCACGATCTGCGCGCTGCCACCGCCTTAAGCGGGCCCCCCGAACCGAAAAGATGCCTTTTTTGGCCTTTTTGGGTCCAAAAAATCCCAAAAAAATCCGAAAAATTCAGAAATTTTTTTAAAAAAATTGGGAATTTCGAAAATTGCAATAACTCCCTTTCATTCTCTCCAAAACCTATAAATAGGCCCCTAGGCCTTTAGAAAATTTGCACATTCTCTTTTTTTCCCTCTGGCTCTCTAACAGTTGAAGCTTCCGCTAATTGCGAGTGGGAAATTTTTCCTGCTCGAATTAGCGCCCCTCCTCTCGTGCAGGAGTTACGGAATTTCTTCTCCTCCCCCCCCGGCTTTCTGACGGTTGAGGCTTCCGCTATTGCGAGTGGGAAATTTCCCCTGCTCGAATTAGCGCCCCTCCTCTCGTGCAGGAGTTTAGGGGATTTTTCTTCCTCCCCCCCGGCTTTCTGACGGTTGAGGCTACCGCTATTTGTGAGTGGGAAATTTCACCTGCTCGAATTAGCGCCTCTCCTTTCGTGCAGGAGTTTAGGGGATTTTTCTTCCTCCCCCCGGCTTTCTAACACTTAAGGCTTCCGCTATTTGCGAGTGGGAAATTTCCCTTGCTCGACTTATTGCCCCTCCTCTCATGTAGGAGTTAGGGGATTTTTCTTCCGCCCCTTTTTTTTAGAGAGATCTGTTGAACTGCAGAAATCCGGCATCGGGTAGAAATACGGCGTCGGGCAGAAGACCGATGAAAGTCCATTGACGGACAGAAGTCCGATGACAGGCAGAATTCGATGCCCAATGGAAGACCGACAAAAGTTCATCGACGAGTAGGAGTCTGCTGACGAGTAGAATTTCGATGACAGGGAGAAGTCCGAAGTCGGGTAGAAGTTCAACGTCGGGTAGAAGACAGACAAAAGTTCGTCGACGAGCAGAAGTCCGACGATGAATAGGAGTCCGCTGACGAGCAGAAGTTTGACGATAGGGAGAAGTCCGACGTCGGGTAGAAGTTCAACGTCGGGTAGAAGACCGACGAAAGTTCATCGACGAGCAGATGTCCAACGACGAGTAGGAGTCCGCTAACAAGCAGAAGTCTGACGACAGGGAGAAGTCCGATGTCGGGTAGAAGTTCAACGCCGGGTAGAAGACTGACGAAAGTTCGTCGACGAGCAAAAGTCTGACGACGAGTAGGAGTCCGCTGACAAGCAGAAGTCCGACGATAGGGAGAATTCCAACGCCCGGTGGAAGACCGACGAAAGTTCGTCGACGAGTAGGAGTCCACTGACGAGCAGAAGTCCGACGACAGGGAGAAGTTCTACGTCGGGTAGAAGACCGACGAAAGTTCGTCGACGAGCAGAAGTCCGACGACGAGTAGGAGTCTGTCGTCAGGTAGAAGTTCAACGTCGGGTAGAAAACTAACGAAAGTTCGTCGACGAGCAGAAGTCCGACGACGAGTAGGAGTCCGCTGACGAGCAGAAGTCCGACGACAGGGAGAATTACGACGCCCGGTGGAAGACCGACGAAAGTTCATCGACGAGTAGGAGTCCACTGACGAGCAGAAGTCCGACGACAGGGAGAAGTCCTACGTCGGGTAGAAGACCGACGAAAGTTCGTCGACGAGCAGAAGTCTGACGATGAGTAGGACTTCGCTGACGAGCAGAAGTCTGACGACAGGCAGAAGTCCTACGTCGGGTAGAAGACCGACGAAAGTTCTTCGACGAGCAGAAGTCCAACGACGAGTAGGAGTCCGCTGACGAGCAGAAGTCTGACGACGAGTAGAAGTCCACTGACAAGCATAAGTCCGACGATAGGGAGAAGTCCTATGTCGGGTAGAAGTTCAATGTTGGGTAGAATACCGATGAAAGTTCGTCGACGAGCATAAGTCCGACGACGAGTAGGATTCCGACGCCGGGTAGAAGTACAATGTCGGGTAAAAGACCGACGAAGGTTCGACGACGAGTAGGAGTCTGAAAATATTTGTTCCAAAATTTTAGACTGACTGAATTCTTTTTATAAGTGATAGATTTATCAATCACTTGCATTCTTGGAGTCTTTATAGAGAGAGC